TAAGGATAAGAACACAAACATTAATTATTTCAAAAATTCATTGTATATTTTTGATCAAATTATTGGTGATGTAGCAATTAGAATGGTATATTATAATTTCATATCTAACAGTAGTCAGTAGTAGACAAATAAAATACAAATATCCAATTTTTCAATTTACGATTACGGTGGGTGGATAATGAAAAGCCACGTGGCAAACATGTTGAAGAAACGTGGCGTGGTAGGGTGGGAAGAAGAGATTGGCAAAAGTCACGAGGCATGTGCTTCTATGTTTTTTTTTTTTTTTCTTACAGAGGACTTATTCACCCAATCATATTCTGCCACGTCATCTTCTCCCCTCCAGGAACGTTTCAAACTTTTTCTCCGATATTCCACATTTCAACGGTATAACATCGATGGCCGACCTGAGATCCTGACACGTGGCGTTATATCAATAAGAACAATTATAATGCTACACTAGTACTAACTCGTTTTTTCTTTTTATGTCAAAGAGTTTCACCTAAATTCATAATTTCATTCAACTTTTAACTAAACATCTAAACTCGTTAAATTAAAAATGATAATTTAAAAACGAAATAAAAGAAAGTACAATTAAATCAAGTGTAATGTAATTAAATAAATTAACACACCAATTAGAAACTAACTATACACAATTTAATTAAATTCACTACTAACGGAATTTAATATTCTGATTAGCATAATAAATAGAAGATATATAAAGAAATACAATAAAAAATGATATACAATCTCTTTTTTTTTAAATTTATTTTATAAAATAAAAATACATTATTCTTGATTTATTTTTTGGAACATCCTCTATTCCATATTCCCAAAACTAAGATACAATTAAGTCAACTGTAACCTACGTAAACTAATTAAATAATTAATAGCACACCAATTAAAAACTAATTATACACAATTTAGTTAAATTCACTATTGATATTACCACTAAAGAAATTATATATTCTCATTAGCATATAAAATATCCACTATTCCATATTTCCAAAACAAAATTATATATTCTCATTAGCATACAAAATAACAAATTTTCAAAATTTTAGTAACTACCATAACTAACCTCTTTTCCACACAAACATTAAAATATCTTACCAAAAATTAAAATGAGAAGACCATTTAGTTTTGATTTCCCTATTATTTGAGTTTTAAATGATTCTATCAATTAAATTTTTTTACTTGAAACTGAGGCGTAGAACATATCATCTATATATTAAAAGAGAAATATTAGAAGATATTTTTGATAATGTATCACTTCCA